AATGTAAATGCATTTTATATATTTACAATATGTTAAAACTGTCATTTGTCATATTATTTCTAAAATTATAATTATTATTAACAACTTTAATATATAATTATTAACAATAACCGTAATACCTAACCATAAATATGGTAACATTATAATCGTAAATATCAAAAACTTTTCTCTCAATTTATTTTCAGCAGCAACTAAGATATTAGCTTCTTGATGGATTATCCAGCAAAAGTGGCTGATGTAGTCGTCACTTCTCTCTGATCTTTCTCGATGTCACGCTTGGGAGGAGACCAATATGATATTATCGAAGCGCGTAGCACGCGATTCTCTCTCTTTCTCCCCGTCTCTTCTTCTTTCTCTTTCGATAACGTCAACAAGAAAAATGCTCGTAGCGGGAAACATCTATGATGTGGATCGATCGAGTCATAGAGGGCACGTGGATATAAGCTCGCGGATCACGGCGGAAATTCGCGGAATCTTTGAAGCGCGATGCTCGCGGATCATACCGGGATAACCGAACGAGGCGGAAATCGAGCTCTCCCTGATGTATCCGTCCTGGATGGGATATAAACGATGTCGATGGCGTATCCACGATCGCGGACGACCGAGTTCTCGGTGAAATGAAAAGCGAAGTTCGCCCGCAAGTCGTTAAACGAGTGATAACAATGCTCGAGTTGGCACTCCGTCGACGAAGCTCTATAAATTCAGCAGTCACGGCCACGCGCGTTCCACTGCGAGAGCTATTTTCAGCTTTGTAAAAACTTGCACGGAATTGTCGGAATTATGGTTCATGAAGTAATGAGGGCACGTGTTCGATAAAAATATGTTTGTGTCCGAACTCTTGATACCCGCGCAAACACGCCGTCATTACGTTCGCTTCCCTAAATTTCCACGATATTCTATTATCCGGGAAAATTCTACAAATCTTTTTAAACGTGTAATAAGTACGTATAGAAGATAACTTGATAAACGCACGGTTAGATTTGATATTACGATCACTTGCAATTTCCAAGCAGTATTGATTTTCGACCATTCGTTTATCGAGAATGTACGCGAAATGGAGTAATCCATATTTTGCGCTATTAAATATTTTAACCTTCTGTTCTAGCAATTACAGTTCGTTGTGCAATATCTTATCGGTACTGCTTACAACCATCGCAAATACTAATTATAAAACTTACGTCCGTATTTATAATTGCATTTTCCTTGAAAAACTTAGATAAAATCATATCTTTGAGATACGTACAGTAAATAGAGCTTAAAGTCAATTTGACATTCGTTATGTCGTATTTGCAATCGAAATTCAGTACATAAACTCAAACGTTTATCTTGAATTATAAATTGAGTTTTATTCTTCTGCACGTTTCATTAATTGATTTTTGGAAGAAGCTCACCTATCTAATAATACTTAAATTCTAAACAGACTCGTAACATATTCTCGTAAGACTTGTAAGAACTTTTAAATGCTTGCACCTTTACGGACAGTTTCTTATTAGCCATAAGATTTATAAGAAATCATAGATATTTACTAACAACCGTAAATCTTACGATATGTACGCATAAAATTAGAATACTAATCATAAGTTCTTACAAGTTTTACAAGAACGAGTTTTATGATTTTGCTTAGAATTGATCCATAAATCTATGTTATAGATTTGGAATCTCAATATTTCTGCAAAGATTCAAAGAGAGAATGATTACTGACGTGACAGATGACAACATAAAAACTCGTAAATAATAAGCAATGTTAATCAGCTTGCGAAATAAAATGTGTAGTAACACTATATTGAAATACAAAGAATAAATAAAAAGAAAAAGTAATAAGATTCTCGAGATTACAAGTAAAATTTACACTACAAATCGACAAATAAGTTTTCTTATTTTACCGATATGTCATATACAGGGTGAGGCATTTAAAACAAGTCACCTGAATAACTCGCTTGTTTTTAACAATAGAAGGGAAAATATCAAACAAAAGTTACTTGGTTTCGAGGAGCTCATAATGTGATGTCAATAATTGTTTTGTACCTTCACAATCCTTGACACTTTTAATTAAATTATTTAAACAAATCATGTTAAAACAATATTTAGACAAGAAATATTCAAAAGAAAGAAAATAAGAATTTTTAGAACAAAGTTTTCTTCTATTTTTGTATATTTCATATTCGTTTTTGCAATTTTATTAAAAAGTGGAAACATGATGTAATGTACCACGTGTAAGTAACTGCTATTGCCCAACATATCATTACCTCCTACATTTGCTTTATCTGCTAAATATTTACAAGTAATAATAAAAACTTGCACGATGTAGCATAATAGACGTAACAAGCGAATGATAAGAAAAAGATCAGAAACGATATTACTATCAACATCCTGTATATAACAATTATTTTTGACTTTCCTTGACTTTCAAATGAGAATAATAATAAAATTTCAGTAAAATTTATTTACATTCATAACACGTTTACTTTTATGATAAAATCATTAAAAATAAATACGTGCATGCAAAGGAAGGTTTTGTCACCATTTTATTGATACAAATAATCTATTATTAAATTTTTTTTAAATCATTAAAATCACAATTATAATAATCACAATTATTATAAAATTAGAAACTCACATTAAAAGGAGACAGATTATAAAATGTATGTGCCTTTACACGAAATATAAATCTGACAAGAAGATTAAACATTTTGAATCTATTTTAGCCGTGCATCATAATTTGAACAATTAATTTTCAATCTTTTGTAGCAAAAGAAATCGTTTTATATAATTTGAAACTTTAGTTTCAGGAAACTATATGCATTATGCAAAATTGCATTTCAAAAAATAAACTTTTATATGAATTGCGCAAATATGCGAAAACAAAAATATATCTATACATACGCAAACGATAGATAGCACAGCTAGTAATTATTTTACATTATAATTGGCGTTTTTTTTCTTATAAATACGTCAAATAAGCAACATGAATCCTATTAGCACAGCCGTTCAAGCCGTTGAAGCTTCTGTTGTCAATAACACTCTGTAGAAATATGGGTTATAAGAGTTTACATCTGTTAATCTTGACATTCGCTATAGTTTATATCCAGGCTCGTCATGTTTCACATCATGGTAAGTTAAAAAAAAAACATTATTATGTTTACACTGATCAAATTTAAAATAATTAAGCTTCTAGATTTTTTAAAATTTTTGCAACACATTTAGAGACCCTTTACGGCACATCGATTAAAAAATCCTGATGTTATTATATGTTTAATTGTAAATAAAGACTGTAAATATAAATTGTTTTGTTCTGTGTCTCGTCAGTTTAAAAACTTGCACGGAAATGTATATAAAATTACAAAATTATATGTTTATATACCTGTCAAGTATTGTATTGGTCGGTGCAAAAGTTTTTACTGATTTTTTGCAATTTTGTATTACAATAAGAATTATATATTAATCGAAATATTTTCCATCGTTTTTCACGATATTTTTTTATCTTTCCGATAGCATACCGACAAATACCATGTCGAAAAAAGAAATCATCCCCTTCGAGACAATTCAATGATCGACCCATTTTCGTATATCCTTGATATTTGAAAAACGCTCACCAAATATATTAATATAAACCGTGTTGCATCGATCTAAATTCTAAAGAGATATAATAATCAGAAGAGGTAATGTCTGATGAGTAAGCTGGATGCGGGAGAACATCTCATTTCAATTCTAACAATGCTTTCTTGGTTTCCTTAGCAATGTGTAACTTAGCCATTATCATGCAACGGGACCTTACGTTTGCTGGCTATTGGACGTTTTTGAATTAGTTTTCTATACAATTGCTTTAATTGTTTACTGTAGCGGTCTCCTAAAACGGTTTGGTTCGGTGACAACAGCTCATAGAAGAGTACACCTCTTTCTAGTCCCACCAAACACACAGTAGGATAGATATTGCGGCGTGGCGTCGATGTGTTGATTGACTACGTTCCACCCAATATTTTTGTCTTTTGGGAGGGTTAGGTTATCCAAAAATATCTCCAGTTACAATACGTCACAAAAAAACCTTTCTTTTTTTGTTTACCAAGCAACGAAAGGTATATGTTGTATCGATTGCCAATTGCGCATTCGGATAATTCATGTGGCATCCACTTTCCATACTTCTGGATTTTTTTCTATTGCATTTAAACGGCGAACAATTGTTGAATGATCAACTCCCAGTTGTGTTGAAAGTTGATGAGTCGATTCGGCTGGAATCTTCATTAAGCAATGCTTACAATTCATTCTCTTTCACAGTTGCAAAACGTCCGAAACGTTCTTTATCACTAATATCTACCGTCTAATATCACTATCTTCAAATTGTTTAAATCAATTCGCACACGTTCTAATGGCTATAACATTTTCACAATATGTGTCACAAATAATTCTGTGTGCATCAGCAGCATTTTTTTTTTGTGAAAACAAAACAAAAGACGGTGACAAATATGCTCTTTATCTAGTTCCATTTTTAATCGTAATATACTATAAGGCTACATCTTTTGACATCTATGGCTTGTTGTGCACAACTGTTAATGCAGATGCCAATTTACAAAGATCATAAACATTTCTGCCGATAAAGTTGTAAGATTATATATATTTTTTTATCCGCATCGGGAAGAATTTTTGCACCGACCTAATATAATATGATAATTACAACTCACGACAAAATTATTTTTATTCACTTTAATCAAAAAGAACTTTTTTATGTGTAAAAGGATTTTAATAAAATAGATTTCAGTACATAAAAAATTTTATAGATTTCTTTGATCAGGAAGTCCATGTACTATATATTAAAATATTAATGACATTTGAAATAATAACCATTTGACATTTTTTTAGAGCTCGGTGCGAGTGTCACAGAGTCATATCCTGTATCCATAGACGGAGTTGAATTAACAGAGCCATTGAGTGAGTCACTGACTGAAAAGAAGATAGCTGTAGAAAGAAATTCATCCGTTCGCTCATTATTTCGTACCATAGACCGAATGTGTCAGTTCGTTCAATATATAAATGTTTTAAAAGAATTGGTAATCACATTATATCAAAATCTCGACTGTGCTATAAATGAGATAGCTGCAATGAAAATGTATTTGGTTGAAATGATGAATGAAATACTTTCCTTTTCAAATATGCTTGGATCGGAAAGTGAGTCATCAAATCAGACAGGAGAAAATAATAATGATACGAATACACTTCCAGAAGAAGAGAACACTTCAAATACAGACTCGAATGAAACACAAGAAAATAGTAATACACTTTCAGAGGAAGAGAACACTTCAAATACAGACTCGAATGAGACACAAGAAAATAGTAATACACTTCCAGAGGAAGAGAACACTTCAAATACAGACTCGAATGAGACACAAGAAAATAGTAATACACTTCCAGAGCAAGAGAACACCTCAAATACAGACTCGAATCAGACACAAGAAAATAGTAATACACTTTCAGAGGAAGAGAACACCTCAAATACAGACTCGAATCAGGGTATAGAAAACAGCTTAGTGGATTATATTAGCGGATTATTTGGGTGATCTCTTCGACACTGTCGATATATCTATGTTTTAAAATTTAATTGTTTTTTCCATTTATTATAGATAACATCTATTATTCCGCCTAATTCTTTTATATTTCATATGCTATGCGAAATGTGTTATATATAAAATATCATAAAATCACAGGAATCTGTATTGTCATTCGAGGACATATCGCGGCATTTGATATTTTTGAGATACATGTCTAGAATGTATAATTCAACGAATCAAAATATATTAATATACATTAATACGTATTAATAATTCTATATATTGATAACTAATTCCAAAGATAATTAATAGGAGAAATGATGTATTCGGCATATATCGTATTGTAATGCACATAAAATATTTTGTATCAACGAAATTGTCCTGATATTTATTTTGTTATGCAAAACCAGCCACCGCATCCACATTGACATTCGCGCAAAGAGCGGGTAACGAGCGTGCCATCGTATTATCCATTGAAATGCGATGTCAAGTAATAAAAGAGATACTAAGAGTGATTATTTTTTAATTAGCTGCTATCAACCCAATTAATTAACCCCCGCAATTAACGATAAATCCATTGACTAGTTACTAAGGCAAGTATGTCGTGAAATTTATTTTATATATTATACACACACAGACACACACACACATATATATATATATATATTCATTCCATGGAAACACGAAGCGGAGAGAGATGGGAATTATAAATCATTGTTTTATCGTAATATTTACACGAATTGCAACAATTTTTTTAACGACTGGTATGAAATGTATCTTGCAATGCGCTTTTTTCTCATTGAGCTAAATATAATTTACTCGTTACCTTCGGAATAAAAATACGAAATAATATAACGCCGGATCAAACGATTTAAATAAATCAGGCTCTTATATTCGTCAATATTACACGGCATAAATTCAACGTTTACATGAAGTAATTTGTTAAAATCTCCCGCTATTTGATATTTCATTCAATAGGTTCATTTGCGAGATTCATGGATATCAGATAATAAAACTTCGTTCTTTTTTTTCATATTATTTTCACAAATGCATTTCGATGAAATTTTGTCGCGATTTAAAGTGTGCATTGTGTGCGATTAATGGGAAAAGTGTTGTGCAAAGTACGATTATTTTATTCTGGTAATTAATACGCGCGATCGTAATTAACCATGTTTTCACAAGGATTACGAATGCAATTACAATGCAACGGAAAAATATGAAATAAAGAACAGAAAACATTAAGCGGCGGAAACAGTCATGGAGTAAGTATATTATATTTATTATTAAAAATTATATTATTTGTCTTATATATATATATATATTTGTTATTTGAAAAATTAATTATTTATATAAATTCGTACGACTGTTATTTTATACACGAGTAATATACAGTTTATTTCTTATTTTATTTGTTATTTAAAGAATTATTTATATTAATTTGCATCAAAAAAAATTATTTTATACACGGACAATATAGTTATTCTTTTAGACAATAATTATTCTGAGCATTGTCATAACTTTCTGCGTTTTTAATGCAGCGTAGTTTTATTGCAATTACACAATTCTATTACGGCACATCGTATTGGTTAATAAAAATTTTTTATATTATAGCATAGATTTGTGTATATGAAAATTATATATATCATCCAATATATATAATGCATATTTTACATACGCATTTATAAAATTAAAAGTATAATCCAGATTAACATCTCACACAAAGAAATCATTTCCTTGAAACAGATGTGTAAAGTAGGACAATATAAATATTTAATATTGGAATCAATATAATCATCAACTTACTGAATATACTATTAGAAATAAAATTTTCTCAAAAATTGCAAGTAAGAGTAGCATAAAAATATAAATATGTAATAATAAAAATATACTAATAATAAAAAGCAATAATTTTACGTAATTGAGACATTTTTTACTATTTCGTTTGGAGATTATCAATTTATATATATTATAATTTATAAAGATTCTCAATTTAGCTTATTGTTTAAATAATTGTTAAAAAAGTAACAGAAAAACGTAAAAAATTAAATATTTCCACTTATGTAATTACAGAAGAGACAAGTATTTTTAAAATCTAAAATGTTCACTTAAATATCTCTTCATGATATTGTATCTCATATCTCATAAATTATGAAAATTGGATTTATTTATGCAAAATGAATACAAATTGAATACAAATCTATATGACATAGAGAATATTGTTAATCATATTTTATTATTTAATATCTTTTAGATAAAAAAGGTATTGATTCGCGCGCGCGAATATTTCTATTTATATGTGTGTTTTCAAGATTAAATATTATATCATAAGCTAAAAAATATGAAAAAATAACAATTAAAGATTTTTTTATATACATTTCACAGAGAATTAAAAGATGAATACACAAAAAATATTTAATAATAGATAGTATTCTCCGACTAATTGATTTACAATACAAAACACTCTACAGCGAGTACCAATTATACATATTTATTTTTATAAATAAAAATAAAACAGAAATACATAAATTTAACTTTTTTACATTTATAAATAAATATAAAAATGATAGATTTATTCCAATTTTTCATAACCTTTATTCATTTTCATCTATTAATAATTTGATTATAAGAAGAAATAATCGCGCGCACCCTTCTTTTTACTATTAACGTATACTCTCAATTAACTTTTAATCAAAATGTAATATAAAACCGTCTGTGTCTCTCAAGATATGAAATACTTTTTATATAGGATCTTTTTGATAATTATAAATATAAACAGCGTGTACTGCACATTATGACTTATAGTAATAAAGGTAAGATCAGTTCAATTCCATACGAATATCTCCGTTTATTGTAGCACCGTCGATCTGGTTTCATCAATGTACAATAATTTAAACAGATATACAGAGACTCGAGATACAAGAAAATGTGCTGCAAAATTGATCTCTTTAGCGCACGCAACCTCCTCAGAATCTTTCGTGACTATTACATAAGAACCGATTGCGCAATAAAATATTTGCGCCACATAACGTTAATTATGTAGAGTTTTATGTGGCGACGTAATAAAAGCAAACCACGTCGAAACAAATAAATCTAAAATAGATAGACAGAAGCTACGGCGTGTCCGCGTGGAGGTGCCAGCTTAGGAAAATTACTTGAGAGAAACGCAATGATGGCGCGGGTAAATCAGAAAGTTAAAAACGTCTTCTTAGAGGCAAGCGTATAGCTTTTTGACGACGGTCGATGAAGAACGACACCTTCGTCTCCGATTTCGACGTTTTCGAGCGTCTTTTAACGGAGAGCGACCAGAATGGCGAGTCGCGCGATGCGTAAAAGAGCTACCGGGGCTGTACAGTACAGAAATAGTTGGACGTAGCGGACCGCAGAACTTCCAAGACGCGAGACGGACGGCCCGCATACGGCACTTATGTACATATACCTTCCGCCCGCGGAATCGCGGCAACGCAACGGCGACGATAATTATAAACGCGACGGGACGCGGGTTGCGCCGCACGGTGCGGTCCCCGGACAAAAGGGAGTTCTATGTTCCTATTTTATCCCGCGGGGCTTTCTTTCACGAGCGACGCGTTGTCGCTAGACATCGCTAATACGAGTTAATAAATCGTCTCACATGAATCACTCCCGTCTACCCGAAGACGTGTGTCTTTTGCTCTTAACGCGTACGGCGTATTTAACCGCTCGTGTAACGATGCCGTGTATCGCTCGAGAAGCGACGAGGTGCCCAGAAACCCCAGCGAGACCAAAAAGCGTCGCGACGTTTAATGCATAAGGTAACAAAAGCCCGCATCATGTTAAGGCGTTCATAGCCAACCGCGCGTAGACAAATGATAAGGAGAAGAGTTAATAATAATTGCTCTATAGATATATCACTTTGATATATATTGATATATAGATTAATAATTAATTACGTCATCGAGTTTATATACGTGTGTGTGTATAGATACATAGAATAATGATTATTCTTAATATTTTGTATTTTAAAAATATTCTATGATTCCAATAAATACAAAAAAATTTGTTTAATAGAAATATGTAGAGAATCCAAAAACGACTTTATTGACCTTCCTCGTTTAACAGTAATAAAATAATTTGTTTATTGCGTCCACGTGTGGAGCACGCTGGTTAGCACAATTTCGGGAATATGGTCGCACGGCACATGCATATATCAAATAATAATGCGATTTATGTATATAGGTTGGTACAATAACACACGCACGATAATATGTGGCAAGGCGTAAATATAGTAATCGTCCAATTATAATGTGACGCCGGCAGGGGAGCGTAAATTCGGAATTCTTCCCCGCGGACATCAATTGCAGTCAGATTGCGTCTCTCACTCGAAGCGATTTAAACTGATTTAGGATAAACCGTATTGCGTGGGAGGTAGGAGGAATATTCCCACGGAAATGTGCGGTCTGTCCTACCGCGGGTAGGACCGTAAATCAGCTCCACACCCATCACGTTCCTTTACGCATTACGCCCCACATGTGACACACACACGTGCCAAATTATATTCGCCGCCCGCTCTCGTCGCGGGATTTCGCGATTTCGCCGATTCAAGAAAAGCTTCCTATCGTCTCTTCTCGTCGTTTCGACTTCGCGATCCTGCTTTACGAGAATTACAAGTGAAAGAGCTAATTTCAACCTGAGAGCATTACGTTCTAATTTGATACCAGAGGTGATTAACGTCTGCACTATCTCGTATCAGCGCGACGTAATAATGAGCGTACGTACCATATCAAATTAAGCTATATCTGTAGAGTGTGTAACAGTATATTAGACACAATCACCATATGATTTCCATTAAGCTATAATGTAGTCAAACAATATAAATCAAGTTAATAAAAATTAAATGGAAGAGCTGATACCTATATTTAGAAAGGTCTACCGCAATCAAATTATTAGAACGGAGACACTGTAAAGAAGAAGAAACTATTCCAAGTAGCCGTTGCTGAAACACGCGATCTAATAGTATTCTGGATGGATGCGTTTACGCTCGTACATAGAAACGTGAGAAGGATAAGTTTCGGTGTGACATTCTATTTAAACTACCTCTCTAGCACAAAGTTCC